CTTTGATGATTGCAGTGCTTTATCTGTAAACTCTGAATGCTTCTTTCTGCTTGAAAGTGAACAGCAAAACTTTGGCATTTACTTGCTGACTCTTTAGTAAAAATAAAAATGGTATTTTAGAGTTCCTTCTAATCCCTATGATTCATATGTCAAACTCCCAACATTCATCATTTCAAGCAAGTTTTTTTATCCATTTCCAGGCCTAATGGTGAACCATGTTCCAGGCAAATTGCCTTCTTTTTATTCCTAATGCTCTAATCAGCGTTTGTAAAGAATGCACATGACAACCTTCATGCAATTATTATTGTTGACTGGCAAGATGTCTGTATAAACTGTCTTCTTCACTCCTCCAAAACATTTTAAAACCATGGAGACAACAACAGCAAGCCCTTCTTTTGTTCATCAAAATGCATAATCACACAGGAAGAGCAAACTCTGACTATTTTTTAACTTGGAGCCTTTCAAGTTTCAAATCAAAGCCACAATCTATATCTAATGGATAACATTATTATGTCTATGCTGCAGGAATACAGGCCATCCTGCAGTACTGCAGTCTAGTCAGCCACCAGCCACTGTTTTAAACGTGTTTTATGAAAACTGAGTGCCCATGACTGTCGTCATCAGCATTAATGATAGACAATAACTTAGATCCACAGACAGGGATAACTAAAATTTTGGCATTAAACAGTCAAATTTCCCAAGAATCACATTGGAAACTACTTCAGCTTTAGATGCCCAGACATGTAACTACACTTAGAGCTACTGAGAAAACTGACTCAATCCCTCAAGAAATTTCCAGTTCCCTGGACATATAATCAGTTCATTTGAGACATAGTTCAGGCTCTGCTAGAGGATGCGATTTTAGAACAATGTAATTTTTAAAACACAACTTCTGCTGTGATTTTCCCACTCAAGATTATAATGTGAGTGGGCATAAGCAGATGATATTATTTATAATAAAAATAGATTATTCCATTATCAAAGACAGGAAGCTATTACTTGAACACTAATGGTTTATACCATAGCGTTGCTTATACGCTTAAACAGTATAAACTAAAGCAATACTACAATTTCCAGCAGAATTTCCATTAACAGTGACCAGCATAGGATCTAAATTAGAATCTAGCAAATCTGGTTTCAGCCATTAGTGTACTAGGTTCTGTAGGTATATTAGCAATGCATTCAAATTCATCTATTTGTTGCATTCAGTCCGAGCCTACTTGCAAGCAAGATTGTGGGTGACTCAGCTTGAGGTGAACCATCACTACAAAGACCATCTGCTACAGCACACTGTATGTTCTCTCTGTTCAAATACCTAATTGTACATAACCTCACAAGCACTAGCTGGATGAGGTAATTCAGCAAGACTCTGTAAAGGCTAAGGTCTTTTACAAAAAAAAAATTTTGAAATCATAATAGGCATACAGTATACTGCTACAATGGCCCCAGAAGGCAGTGAGCTAGTGCAATGAGTCAGTATAGAATTATGCTGAAAAAGCCACATGAAGTAGTTATTTGACTCAAAAAAAAAAAAAAAAAACAAAAAAAAAAAAACACAAACCAAACCTTGGGCATGGAAACTGTAAATATCTGTTCTGTGACAGTGGATGATGCAGATCTTGATGTAAAATAAGCTTTAAGTGCAATGAAAGAATTAGCTCATCAGACCCAACAAGCTACAGTACAGAATAATTCTGGGGTGTTTGATATTTATTCTTACTTGTCACGACATACTAAAATACACCACAGATGTTCACTGATGGGCACAACAGGTTGAAGGTCTGCAGGCAGCACAAGTAAAAGTTGGAGTAGTCGTCTCCCAATGATGTACATCCTCCAATTCTTTTATGCACACTCCCATTTGGAATTCGACAAGGATGCACTTTTTCCCCTCCAATAATTGTTTATTTTTATGTATAATAAGCCACATCATTTCTGTTAAAGACTGTAATACACTATGTTGTTCACCATATATATTTGCATAAGAAGAGGTATAATTTTATAGAGAGTTCTTTATTGAAAGAGCTCAAATGAGTATCATTAACATTGTTGATGCTAAACAGCTAGCAAAAATCTCTTGGCACTAAGGAATGAGGTATAGAACCAGATTAGGTGCTAATGGCTTTGTTTTTACCCCCTTCTTTTCAGAGGTTTTTACCTTGACACATACAATATACTGGAGCTCAGTCAAGGATTGTTTTTTTTTTTTTTTTTCACAATCCATTTCACCTCCTCCTGGTGACTGGAATGCTATTATCCAAATTAGTCTGCAATTCACCATCTCTAGTGAATTTACACCATAATTAAATTTGCTGTATAAAGTCAATATGATACACTCCTAAATGTGGATACAAATATGCATAGTAATTAGCACACATCTACAGGTTTGTATTCTCTTTCATCAAATAGCTTGCAAACTCATTTTAAGCATATTTTAATCAGGTGAATACAACTAAATGATTTACTTCTGAAAGATCTCAAGAAAGAAATCAAACAAAAATGGTGTGTTTGAATTCAGGCAGCTTGCTCACAAAAATGAATGTAGCAATATTGACATCAAGCAACTTATGTGCTCTCTGAATTTATGAAATATAAAACAATATAATTCATATTTTTTTCAAAATTTCACAAGGTGAAATAATCTTTAATTTAGCATTATTTTTCTTTGTGTTTTTCTGAAGAAAAAAAAAGGGGAACCATCCATAGAGAATTATCGGTATTTGAAATATTTCTGTGTGGATACTTCACTTGTAAAAACATTTAAGGAATGACTTGGTAAACAAGATATTATAATCACATCATCCTATTTATTATGATCACAACATTTTATTAAAAGGTTAAATTCAGATACTATTCATCAGGCTGATTTTGCTAACACAGTCATCCTTAACTAGATATGGTCAGTAATTCTACATTAAAAAGTGTTTGCTCTTTCAACTAGTTTTTCACTTGCTGTTTTTAGAAGCAATACTATGAAATAAAAGTAAACAAAAATAAAAATACAAACACCTCTTGCTTTTATAACAACATAATAAAAATGCTAGCCCATAAGACCCTATTCTACATGCAATTTATTGACATCCTTAATTTTTACAAGTCATTTAAAGGACTCTTACAGGTCTTTTCTAAGAGCTCGCAGGAACATGACTTAACTGTGGTAGACCTATCCATTTTGCTTCTCCCCACAAAGAAACAATTGCCAAGTTCCTGGTTTTATGGGACATAATCCTGGACAGATGGCTGGGTATAATACATGCTTCTATGCACAGACATACATATATATATATATATATATATAAGCATATAGACATATATTTTTTTTAACTGGAACGCATCTGCTCTTGATTTGATCATTTTCATATGCATGATTTTGTAGGTAATAACAGTACTCTAAACTGTTATTATATACATCTTCATGATTATCATCACGATCCTTAGACAACAATACTCCCATGTTTCCTAGCAATCAATATTTTTTAGTTCAAGCTGAGATTTGTTTGCTACATATACATACACTCCTAGCATATTAAAGGAAACCCACTACTCTCAACAGGAAGGTTTGAAGAGTTCAAATTCCATCCAGGATAATGAACTGACAGGAGAGTAGATTAACTGAACTGAAATGACAGTTGTTCTGCTCTGGTTGATAGCAAAAATTACTACCCTGGTATTTGAGAGAGAAAATCTGCAAAGGGAAAAAAATGAACTCTCCTATGTTTTTTCTTTCCCCCTGCAGTTGATATAATGTCTCAACACAAAAGGTGTTGTACCAGTGACTGCTATGTACTCCTGTATATATATATATTTTGTAACACAACCTTAAAAAGTATGATGTCTTTTCCAATTAAAAAAAAAAAAAAAAACAAAAAAAAAAAACAAAAAAACCATTTTGGTAAATAATGTCTCCTGCTATAGAAATAACCATAGTCTGTTTAATTTGAAATCCATAGCACACAAGGTAAGGCAGAGAACACAATTAATATGGATCATTTTAATAGGATGCCATGCCGTACTAACTTGCAGTTAATAATTCTTCAGAGGCTAGTTTTTGCACAAGTAGTTTCTAAAATCATGAAAACATTTTGTTCACTCTTAAGACTCTTTCCTTCTTTGTGCCAGAATAGCAGACACTAGCAAAAATATTCCAAAGGCTGAAAATTAAAGTATAAAATTCTTCTTGCTGTTCTGGTCAGTACAAACTGCTGTAAATACTTCCTATGTAAGGATTACCTTTTCCATTACAAAAACTGTGACTGTTAGCGGAGTATGGGAAAAGTCGGTTCAACAATGGTATCTGCTTCAAAGTAACTCCATACTCATTGGTAGCACAAAAATATACGTATCCACATATATAAATGCATAAATTGATATGAAATTATGTACATAAATGAATACATATATTATACTAGTTAATTAATAAACTGACAGATTTTTGTGCACATGACAATACTGACTCGGATTAGCTATAAAGTTTACAGCTGTCTTGGAAATCATGACAGGCATCTCAGTCTTAGTGTCCTGGACACAGGCAGCCAGCTACAAAAGCATATCATAAATGTTGTAATAAATGTCTACAGCCACAATACAGTATCAGTCGTGGAGTGCAGTGATGATTTTCCTTTTGCACTGCTGCTATGGCAGTTCTTATCTTTCTGTACTGCCCGATACACTAAACTCATACTCGCCATGAAAATGGGCTAAAAACCATATCTGATATGCAGAAACTGCAATAAAAATATTGCCGCCTTCTGATAATTGGCTTTTTATAGTAAGGTAAGTATTCCCTTCACTTCATTTACAGGACAAAAACCTATCTGTGTAAGCTCACTCCAGTGTAAGAGAAACATCAAAAAAGTCTATAATTAAAGTATTCAGAGGAAAGTCAATGTCGCCTCCAGACCACATGACTGTGAATTCCCCATAGCACTCAGTTAATGTGTTTTCCATACATAAGGTAGAGTGGAAACTTTAAATGGTATCAAATTCACTTCAACTCTTACCGGAAAAGACACTGGGGATCTTGGAAAGAAAACTTTTGACTGTACGAATAGGAATCCCATTTTTCTCATCTTGCATGCGGGCTATGACGTCTTCCATCTGAGCACAGAGAAAAAAAAAATAAAAGAATAAATAAGTCCAGAATTATTCCCTAAAATAAATTCTCCAAGAAATCCTAGATCAATCTCTCAGAACGACAGGTCCACTCTTGCTATTTCTTTTTTAACTTATAATTTATATTCTATATAAACAGGCTAAAAAAATGATAGTAATTTATTCGTGGACAACAGTAAAAAAATTTATGTGTTTAAAGTCTCTTGAGAAAGAAATACCAACGCAGAACAAAGATTTAATTAAGTTAGTTGAAAACAGTTAAAAGAAGTAGTTAAAAACTACTGCTGGATATAGTACTTCGTATTTTGATCATATTACTGGTACTGTAACACATATAAAAGCAAAATAGACTCTTATGGCCTTCTAGAGGACTGATACAATTCTCAAAAAGACTGTTCAAAACAAAAATAGAGCTTTTAAGTTCAAAGCAAAAATTCCTTCTTTTATTTTGAGAAGAGCAAAAAAAATACAACATGATGCAATTTTACATCCCTGGAGACAGCAGAACTGGAAATTAAGATTTTTTTTTTTTTTTTTTTTAGGTAATGGAGTAGATATATAAAAGTTTAAAATTGCTTTGCCATCTTTTTTTATATTTCTACACTAACTTATTTTTTCCAACTCAATTTTTTAGGCTAATTTGGCCTGTATGTTTTAAAAATTATGCCTAACCTAAAGGTTCACTGTCATGTGAAGTATGAACAGCAAGCCCTTTTACTAGAAAACAAAGAATAATTATATAAAGTCACTGGCTGACAACACCAGTTTTTATTCTTGTGCACTTTGTAATTTAAGTTTACATGCTGGATAACTTCCATATTTCCTTCTCTGAATATCTAACTTCTCAAAATATTCAATGATACTGTGATAAAAGGAATTACAACTATCCTTCCTTTTTCCTTAAATCACCAACATACTCCACGTGAAAAGCTCTGTGTGACAGAGAAATTTATATAATTTTATTAGTAAAATCTTAAAAAAAAAAAATTCTATCTCACCTCTGTCCCTAGTAGGTTCCCAAAGAATTCATTGAAAGCTTGTGGCTGGGTTGTGTTGAAAAAAAGAGATTAACAGACAAAATTCTGTTATATACCTTTTTTCCACAGAAGTCAGATGACTCAAATCAGCAGACAGCAAATCAGCATTAGTTGCAGCTGTGCATTAATTGGCCCAATGGGGGAGTTCTATAAGGCCAGGAAAGGGAAGGGGAGCTAGGATCACCAGTGGTGTACATAGCGAAAAAGAACAAAAATCCGTATCAAAAATGAAAACAAAATCAATTAGTTCAATGTGTGTACACAGAGTGTCTGAAGGCTCACATATTCCATGTACTTATGGATCATACATTAACAACCCAAGGAACACAAATCCAGTGGCATAGTCCAAAACAGAAGGTACACACAAGAATTAGATACTGTTAGCAGGATGTGCAAGATCAAGTCTATTGCTCAGAATTAAGGAATGTGTAAGTGTAACAGAAGAAAACAACCAATGTTCATTGTAATGACTTTCGTCTGACATGGAATTTAATTATTTAAATAGATAAGGATATCAGTAATGTCCTGAAGAAATTGTCAAGCAGACAAACTGTTGTCTATGAAATGGAATCTCTCCCTACATTTGTTATCCATATAATAACTGAAGGCTTGTTTCAGCTACTTCTAAATTCAGTTGGTAAGCTTAAAGCCCTTAAACAAATAAGAAGTCATTCAAATTCAAGTGAATATCTTTGCTTTAAACAATAAAGTAAATTATAACTGTAGATGTGTGGTCTTCTATGGAAGTGAACAGAAGTAAGTTTGATGATAAATGCTGTACATGCAGCATAAATTTATAAGAATATTGCTAGAAATGCAGAGTGAATAATAATGTATGTTACACTGGGACAAAGTTTAGAAGACAATTCATACATAAGACAACGTGATAAAGGTATAGTTGCTTTACAGTAAGCATTACTACGAATGTAGAACACAATCCTGGAACATAATATTACAGGTTGTGATAGGCAGTTACCTCCTTCTCAGGAATGCAGAAGAGTGCAAATGTTCAATGCTGAGCATACCCAGTGCTGTCGGTAATCAGTCTTTTGAGGGTATATGGAATAAATTGTTAACTGACATTCATATATGCTCTCCTAAACCTCTTTCATGGACAAGATTTAATCTAAACTGTATAAAATCTAACTCTGATAGGGACTGTAGCTCGGGGGGAGTTCTATGGTTTTGATTAGCAAAGTGAGCTCTAGAATGTCTGCACTGCAAATTTACACCTTCCCCTGCATGTCTTGCTCAGATTATTGTTGCATGTCAGGAGCAAGCACCCTCTGTGCAAAAGGCAGCTCACACTCCAGACAGTGTCATTGTGAACTGCCTGGTTAATTCAGTGTACAAAAATTACTGCATAAATTAGTGGGAATGTTCTGAAACAAGATACGGCACAACAGCAGACTCCTAATTAGTTACAGTTGACCCGGGTTTCTGTATGTTATCTGTTAGACTACAAAATTCTTATTTGTCTTGTCACTTTTTGCACATAAATCTAAAAGGTCACTTCTGTTTTGTGATCGTCTTAAATCTTAAACATAAGAACTCAAGAAAAGGAAGGGCAAATTAAAAAAAAAAAAAAAAGAAAGCTTCAATTAAAGATTCAAAACTAATTCAACATACGCAAGTGCACAGTTTAACTTTTAATATATGTAGTCCTTATTTCTGCTTTAGCTGCTTTACATTCAGCAAATGTATAATCTCTGACTGAAAAACATCTCATTTAATTATATTTGGGATGCAGCACTCAAAGCACTTCTCTATCATTCATCAACAATGACCTAAGACAATGAAAAGGGCAGAATAGTTTAATTAGAATGATGAAAGAAAATCTTCATCTAATTTTGCTCAAGAAGTCTAATCTGGGAATCACAAGCTGCTGCCTGATATAATAATTTTCCTTTCTGATATATCATTGTTTCCTTCTGTGTCACCTGACCCAATGCTCAGAAGTGAAATATAAGCTCCTTCACCTCAGAATTTGGCTTTCACAGTTCCTTCCTTATGTGCTTACCTGGTTAAACCTCATTGGCTCTGATACTGTAATGGGATCTTTTTTAGCCCTAAGCTCAAAGAACTCAAAGAAAACAAATGAACAAACAACTGCTTCCTGATCAGTCTGTAAATGAAGCTCAATGTGACTGAGAAAAGGAAGTTGTGTATTTTAGCTTGAGAAAAGGAAGTTGTATATTTTAGCTTTTCAGTCACCATTACACACCATTAGCAGAGAAAGTGTAGCTAGAAGGAAGTTCACAGTGCAGCAAGGATTCTGCAAGAGCATTTCTAAATAAATGTGTAGTTCAAAAAAAGGCCATTTGTTTACCAGTGAGGCAATTCTAACCCTGACAAAAGCTCACTTAACCTTCTGATGCATAGGCAACTCAGACCAAACTTACAATATTAATATTTAAAACTTCACTTGTCTCCTTGTGAAAATAATTTGCAGTCTTCAGCTTGACATGTAAGGACTCTGTGAAATCTATTTCAAAGACCTGCTGAATGACAACAGTGGCAATGCATCGTATATGAGGTAAAAAGAAAGAAGATAGCGATATCCTGTAAAAGAAAAGACACAGGATACAGGAGCCATTGTCTAATAATCACCACTGACTCCGCTCCAGACACACTCAGAGCTAGGCATGGAGACATACATGACTTACCCCAGGGGCAGAGCCCACGGGGAACTAACAAGCCCACAGAGAACTAACAAGCCCACAGAGTCAGTAGTATCTGGCCATGGGGTAGCAAGATTATCAAACAGGAAGAGAAGGTGATGGTTCTCAGTCATGTATATTGCTAAAAATCCACTGAAGGACTATGCTTATTAGACTTCTCTTCCTATTTGATAGTTATAGGAGGTTTCTGCCATATGGGGTACAATTCACTGCTTCTATCTTTAATCATCAGTCACTACCCAAAGATATCTGCCTTTCTCCATTACCGACAGTGCAAATCTTGACAACAAACCAGGACTAGTATCCTTTAGCTACTTACAGCTAAGTGAAATTAATACAACTAGGAGCAGAATTTTTATGGTTCCTTAGATTTCAGTGCCATGAGCTTTGGAAAAACCCTGATCTTTAGATTTCTAAATCTAAATATGAATTTCATTGCTGATCATCCACACATGTTGCAAAAATTATCCCTTTGCACCATAATTCAGCATCACTGCCTCTTAAGAAGTGGGGTTTTTTAATTAACTCAAAGACAACAAAAGTTGAAAGCTCAAGATATTTTTCAGTGCAGGACAAGAGTTTTTTCTTCCCTTTAAAGCAAGCCTAAATTGACTCCACATAAAGATGATCACTAGACAGAAGGATTCCAAGACTAAAAAAGAAAGCAATGATCTGGAACGAACTAAAGTTCAACAGATACATGGTAAAAGCTAAAAACCTTGACCTTCTTACACATTTACAGATTTCTCAATTCAATTTTTTTTATTAAAACAAATTTCAGTGCCAGGGAATTAAAGTACACCCAGAAACACTAGGATGCAACTAAGCATAGTTTTTCACTCAGTTATCATACCTCAGAACAGGGGATTGCGCTTATGTTGAGGGTACTGGGGTCCACCCACTCTACAGCTTTGTTAATTTTGCTAAAATCTTTCTACTTCATTTTACCCACAGGCAGGGGTGGAATAACCCAGAGGAAATAACTACAAACCTCATTCAAACTTGTTAACAAAGTACATTATGTAATAATTTCTTACACTACTCAACAAGTTTCCCTTGACGTTTTTGTCCCCTTCTTGTTTAAACACGTTACAGAGTTCGAGGTCACTAGTGCAGCTGACCAGTATGTTGCTCGAGGCTTTCCTTAGCCAGCCCTCTGTGCAGAGATGCACATGAAGCAACATGGGCCGAACAAAATCAGTAGGGTAGGAGAAAGCTGCAAGGTTACTTACAAGGTAATGGCCATTTTTTCTGTTTTCCAACACAG